ATCGTTTGCAACATAAAAGTTGTTAATTTCGATGGAGTCCAATTTATCTCTTTTTCTTGTTGTTGTTCCTTATGCTTTTGGAATTGTGTTTAAGACGACTTTGCCTCACGCAAGGTCGCGAAGATTTACTCTCGTGTTTCCTTCTAAGAGTTAACCGTCGACCTGGCCGCCAACAGGGGCACGTGCTCTGACCTGGACTCCAACCATGGCCTTTCCATTTGCGGAACGATGCCCAACCCACTGAGCCCCACCAGTCAGGGCTTTCCTAGGAGTTTTATAGTTTTTAGCGCTTAAAGTTAGGTTATGATCCATTTCAAATTATTTCATGAGTTATTAACACTGTAAGTAACAAGATCTAACATCTCCTATGATTTTGGAGAGAAGTGAATGCACTGCCCAGAGGTCTCTCCAACTGTGATGCGATGCGACAGTATCACGACCTCTAGGCAGAAAGGAGGTAGTGACAGCCATTGCTAATACCACCTACATTCACAGTTGAAGCAAATGCTAGATTTCAGTTACAGGTTCATTTAAACAAAGCAATAGTCTCCTTCCCAGGTTCACAGTGCCTTGGAATGCTACCCACGACTTCGGGTTAGGAACTCCATGCCTGAATTGCGTTGTGGGGGTTTGAACCTTCCAACACTGGCTTCAGGGCTGTCCTCCTGGCACCCCCAGCCGCCCTCACTGCCCTCCGCCTGGCTCCAGCCGCGGGGAAGCTTTCCTTGGCTAGAACTTCTAAGAAGCCATCTAACAGTGCTAACATTAAAATTAAAAAATAGCCAGGGCACCGGTGCACACCTCCCTCCGTGCCCTCCCAGCCTCCGAGGTCTCCGGGGAGGCCCCTGGCTGCACACCCAGGTGGCTGAGATGCTGCCTCCCCTATGTACCAGCTGCTGGGCTTAGGCAGATTACTTCTCTAGCAGCCTCAGTTTCCTTTCTGCGAGGCTTGGAGGAGCCGGTCCTAACCGTCCACCTGGTGGGATTATCAGGCAGATTAGAAGAGCCCTAGCCAAGAGCAGAACCAGGCACAGGCACGCCCTGAAGGTATTAGCTGTTGCTAAGCCTTCCGCAGGACAGGGAAGGTGATATTTCCTTTGCCTGCCTAGAATTTCCTTGTTCTGCACCAGGTCAATATCTAACTATTTGCATCATTCTGGATTCTCTGAGTTGTAACAGAAACTCAAATCGCTCAATTTAAAAGGCCAGGAATTCAGGCCTGGCTTACAGGGTGGGCGTCCTGGGGAGAGTTCAAAGACCCTCTCAAGGACTCAACCCTCCTCTCTCCACAGACGGGCAGGCTAGGCCGGGCGCCCTGGAGCAGGGCCCGGACTGGGGTGGGCAAGCGAGGCCGTCTCTCAGGTGCTTGTGCAGCATGCCAGAGCCTGGGTGCAGGCACCTTCTCCGGCTGCCAGCACCTGGCTCGCCTGCCCGCCCTGGCCCTGCCCTGGAGGATCTAGGTTTCTCATAGGAGGCTTAGGTCCTCAGAAGCACTTCCTTGAAAGCTCCAGAAAAAAAAAAAAAAGTTCCTAAAAGGGCCATGATTGGTCTGGCTAGGTCATGTGCCACATCGGAGCCAATCGCTGCAGCCAGAGGGCTGGGGCGCTCTGATTGGCCAGGCCTGGGGCATGTGCTGGTCGGGATGGGATGGGAAGCCTCAAGCCTACCACCTGGATGAGGATGTTGAGGAGGAGCTTCTTCTGGGGAGATGCTGGGCTGGCAACCCCAACCCCCCAAAGTGGGGCCTATTTTCCGTCTTGGTTAGGCCTCCATTATTCCAGGAACCCGCCCCTCACTGGGAATGGCTGCTGAATCCATAGCAGCCTGAATTCCCTACCATTCATTTCTCCACAAAAAGTTAACATGCGCTAGGCACAGAGCAGGGGTCGGGGAGGAGCCCAACACTCACAGGTTGGAAGGAGAGGACCGAGGGGGAGTGCTTTGTGAGGTAGGAGAGCGAGGTCCCCAGAAGTGAGGGAGTTTCCGGGAGTGGTGGACTCAGGTGAGACCAAGAAGTGACAAATGGACTGGGCAGCAGGGAGGTTGTGGGTGACCTTAGCAAGACCTGAGAGTGGGAACACAGCCCAGCCGGGGCGGGGTGAGGAGAGGCCCGGAAGGGAGGGAGTGGAGGAGACAGGTACGGACCCATCTTTGTTTTCTGTTGGCGGGGGGGGGGGGGGGGGCGTGTAGAGAAACGGGGAGGAGGCAGAAGGACATGTAGGAGCAAGGGAGCGTTCCCCCTCTCCTTTTTGTGAAAATGCTGTCCAAGGGTACAGAGGCTGACGGCCCAGGAGAGCATAAGGGGCCAGCGGAAGGAGGGGACTTGCGGTCAAGGTCAGGGTGGGAGGCCGGAGGGGCAGGTCGGTGCCAGGCAGGGAGATGGGTCAGTTTGGGGCCTGGAAGATGAGAGGGATCCTATCTGACGGCTTCAGTGTTCCACGCTGCAGAGGGAGGCGATTCCGGGGCTGGGAGTGCGGGCAGGAGGGGCTGTGGCAGGCGGAGGGAGCGCGAGAAGGTGACATCTTAGCCTGAGAGAGTGGGAGAGTATCACTGAAAACGTGGTGGGGCTGCTGACTCTGCAGAGCGCCAGTCTGAAGTCTGAGATCAATTCCCAGTCAGAGGGGGTGCGGGTGGACCTCAGGCCCCTCCCTCCGCAGAGCCCTAGGCAGGAGCAGGACGAGGGGCTTCCCCTCAGGTCCGAGGGCTTCCTTTGCAGGAGTGAGGAGCAGGGAAGACGAACCCTAAAAACCCACCAGGCCAGGAGGTACATACTATTATTATCTGTTCTACCGACGAGGAAGCTGAGAGGTTCGAGGCCACGGGGGCATCCACGTGGTCTTGGTTACAGGGCCTGGTTACACGTCAGGTGTTAATAGATATTCGTTGAAAACCGTGGATGGTTGGAACAGCCAGCGGTGCACCCACAGTCTAATCAAGACAGGAAGCAGCCCTCACTCTGGAACAGGTCGGTGGGGCTGGTGACTGTGTGCTGCGCCATGTCTGCTGCCCTGATACGGGACTCAACGTTACCTTTGTGCTCTTACAGGCTACGTGTTCCAGAGCCTAGTGGTGGAACTTCATAGACACCTAGCGAGCAGGGCATCCTGCTCTTAACCTCATTTCTCACCTCCAAATAGTCAGAGCCCTTAGCCAGGTGGACCAGCCCCAGGGGGAATGGCATCTCTGGTACTTAACCCTTGGCTTCGCTGCCTACACCCTACCCAGGCCAGCTGGCAGGGAGCTTGCCAGGGGCAGCCGCCTGCACTGCCTTGGGCTCTCCAAAGAGAGGGCTTTACCTTTAAGGGGAGTCCAGGAGCGTGGACTCTAACCTGGGTGGGGGCAGGGCTCCTCCATGAGAAGGGAGGGCCCCGGCCCTTTTCTCAAAAGCCATTTAAGCAGAAATGAACATGGTCACTTTATGGAAGTTAATAATAATGGTTCGCGCTGCAGAAAACGTGGAAGCGAACACCCTACTTATTTATTCGGGCTTTAAAACCATAAAACTCCAGATTTCTCCCTGTAGCTATTTATAACCTGAGCTGGTGTAAACTGTCCCCATATTAAGCTCAGGTCTGAAGTAACTTAAAAGAAAAATAGCCATCGCTGCATTAAAAAAAAAAAAAAAATTCATTTATAGACCTTCTCTCGCCTGCTAATTGTGGACGAACAGCGTGTGGCTGAGGTGGGGGTGGGGCAGATACGGACCTCCGGAGAGGTCACACACTCCCCCGTTCCCCGCATCTAGCTATAAAATCGCCCTTAGGGCGGCCGGTGGTTAGTCTCCAGGGCTGGGGTGTCTCGGGCTGCGTCGTGCTCTCCCTCGCCGGGTGCCCAGGGTGCAGTGGGGGGGGGGGGGGGAGACAAGACAGGCAGCAGATCCGGAAAAGTGGCTCTTGTCTTGGAGGAAGTTGACCCTCCTCCCCTACCAAGGCCTGGGATGAAAATAGCTTCTTCCTCTTTACCCATCCGGGCCCCCAGCCCATTTCTCTAAGTCCTCCTCCCCATTTCTGCACGTGCTCCCCTCCCCCCGGGACAATTCGGCCCCTTCGCCGATCTCTAAACGCCCATCAGGATGACAGGGACCCTCCGGTTCGATCTCGGCAGGCGCGGCGCGCCCTGCAACTCGGGCAATTACGGTGACTTCCAACCTCCCCCCACCCAATTAGCAGAAAGCTCCACCACGCCGCCAGCTCCCACAGTGCTTCCATTCCCTCCAGGGAAAGACTGTCACCTGGGAACCCTGTCCTCTGTACCAGGGCTCCCTCGGCCCCGCTACACCCCCAAGTCCCTTGGGGAAAGTGGGGGGTGCAATTAGTTTCTTTCAATTAGTTTCCCTTCTTTGTATATACCCATTCAAACTGTGATATGTAATCCTCCGCGCGAGGGGGAAAGTAGTCCCGACCTTGCATTCAATTTCTGTTCTCGTGTCGCGCCTATTTTACTTTTTGAAGCCGATGGGACCCTCCGTGGGGCCCTTGGGGGAATGGGGGCCCGAAGCCGCTGAGGTTGCGCGCAGGTGAGGGTGTGGGAGCCGAGGCAGAGGGAGGGGGCGGGGAGGGCAGCTAACTCCTCGCTATTGCCTAGAGAAATGGATCATGGGGCGTAGAGAGATTGCAAAGCTCAAACCACGTACAGCGGGCGATACGCGTCAACCGAACCTGACCAACGGAAGCCCGAGCCCCCTCACCTCTCTCCCGCCCCATCCCTCGGATAGACCGGTGTAGCGAGCCAACCAGGCTGCCGCTCACCGTCAAAATCCCACAATAGCCAATGGGAGCGCGCGAGGGCGGAGCCAATCCAAAGGTTGGGCTGCGCGCGGCTTCCCAGGCCCCGCCCCACCCTCCCGCCCGCTGATCCCGGAGTAGTTGGTGCCAGTGAAGTGCGGCCGCGATGAGAGCGAAAGTTGCGCTCGGCTCGGCGCTGGGGGCTTGAAGCGGCCCCGCGCTCCGCCCGCCAGGGCCGCCCCCCAGCTCCAGCTCGCGCCCGCCGCGCCCGCCAGGCCCCCGCGCCCGCCCGCAAACCCCTCCCCCTGTCCCGGCGCCCCCTCCTCAGGAGCCGGGGGTCCCCGTCACTTTCGCACGGCCCCGGTCCCCGCCGATGCCGGCCATGGTGGAGAAGGGCCCCGAGGTGTCAGGGAAGCGCAGAGGGAGGAACAACGCGGCCAGCGCGGCCGCTTCGTCCGCCGCCTCGGCCGCCGCCGCCGCCGCCTCGGCCGCCTCCGCCTCGGCCGCCTCAGCCACCGCCTCGGCCGCCTCGGCCGCCGCCGCCTCCTCCACCGCCTCGGCCGCCGCAGCCGCCGCCGCCCCCAGTAATGGGCAGAATAAAAGTTTGGCGGCGGCGGCGCCCAATGGCAACAGCAGCAGCAACTCCTGGGAGGAAGGCAGCTCGGGCTCGTCCAGCGACGAGGAGCACGGTAGGTGGCAGCCGCCCCTCGCCACCCGCGCCGCGCCCGCGCCCGCGCCCGCTGACCGCTGTGCTCTGCTTCCCCGCAGGTGGCGGCGGCATGCGGGTGGGACCCCAGTACCAGGCGGCGGTGCCCGACTTCGACCCCGGTGAGTAGCTCCCGTCCTACCGCTCGGCCGGGGCTCGAGGGGGCGGGAGCCCTTGGACAACTTTCTTTTTGTGTGTTCGCCCTGCCGTCCGCGGGGGGAACAGCAGGCGCGACCGGGAGGGAAGCACACCCGGCGTGGGGTGCCGTCGCCTCTGCCCGCCGGGAGGGCTGGCCGCCTCCCCCGCCCCCGGGACCCGAGGCCGCCTCGGGCGGCCACCGTGGCCGGGGGTCCCGGCGGGGCCGGGGCCGGACGAGCTGCGCCTCGGCCAGGGGAGGGTGGCCGCGCCGGAGAGTTAGCATCCCCCGAGCTCGGACCCGGGGCGGCCTCGGACCCCGTGCTCCACTAGCGAGTGCCGCCCGGGGCCTCCCCTCGGGCCCCGGGGCTCCGATCGCCCCCACGCCCGCCTGAGCCCGAGGGCGAGGGGCGCCCCGACCTCCCAGATCCGCTTCTCGGGGAGCCGCGTGCCGCAGCCCTAGGCTGCAAAGGTGCGTGCCGCCCCCCGCCCCCTGGCTTTGGAAGGAAGGGCTCGTGGAAGAATAGAACCTGCCGAAGCCCGAGCCTCACCGCGGACCGCCACCCCCAGCGCTCCCCGCACCCCAGACCGGGGCCCTCACTTCCCTCACTGCTGCTCTGCGGGGAAGCAGATTTAAAGTGGTACCAGAAAAACCCCGTCAGACAAAGGAATTCGCCAGGTTTTAATGCAGGAGATTCCAGCCCGTCTCCGTGTGTGGCTGTCTTTAAAGGTTGTTGGCACAGAACATGTTTCAAAGGACAGGGTGTTATTTTATTTTTTCAGAATAAAATTCAAAAGAGAATCGTGTTGAACTGGAGTTAACAGACCTCCCGGTTGGAGGGCTTTCGAGCCGGAGGTTCTCTATGTAGGTTAGCTTGCTAGTTTCTTGGAGAAAATAAATGCATAAATGCTTTTCTTGGGAAACAAGGCTGCAGAAAATCGCACGGATCTAGCCCCCGACCGAGGCGATTGCTCTTCAGCTGTTAGTGAGGCGCTCAGCCCTGGGTGTTCTTCGAGGTGAAAACGCCCGGGGATCCCTGGGGGGAGCTCATGGGCTCCCCGGAAATAAATGACCTTCCCCCTCTGTGCCATCTCCGTTTCGGTACGTGGACTCAAGTCTCAGGTTTGCGGAGGCCGGCGGCCAGGTCTGAATTCCGCTTGAACTCCGGACAGTGTTTTCGATAGTTTCCCCTGCCCGCCCTTCCTTTTTCGGCAGTCACTTCTGCTTCCCGGCGTGACAGGCCGCCCGGCCGGGACGGCGCGCCTGCTGCCGGGATGCCTTCCCCATTCCTCGGGTGGCCGCCAGGGGAAGCAGACTGTTTTTTGGTTACAGTTGACCCTATCTTCATTTTGTAGGTCAAGTCCATCTTTGTTTTAATGCACAGCACATAAAGCAAAGCTTGCCACCCAGTCCCCGCCCCCAAGTTTTGAGAATCAGCTGGCACAAATGTTTACTTTTAGTACGTTGGTTGTTTTTTGGTATCTTTTAGTTGTATGTATTAGTTTTGAAAGCTTTCTTTAAATATGTTGGACGTGACTAAGGAAAAGAGCATGTTTGATGGCAACGACAGGAATTAGGTTTCTGACATAACCATTCTTCTAAGTATTGATGTCTAGCTTTGCGTTGTTAGTAAAGTCATTAGAGTTGTTCTCTTCTTTTTAAAAATTTAATTATTAACTGATTTTAGAGAGAGCAAGAGGAGAGAAACATCGATTTGTTGATTTGTTGTTCTGCTTCTTTATACATTCATTGGTTGGTTCTTGTGTGTGGCCTGGCCAGGGCTCAAACCCCACAATGTTGGTGTCTGGGGATGGCGCTGTAACCAACTGAGCCACCCAGGCAGGGCCTAGAGTTGTTCTCTTTGAAACAGAGAACAGCAGGATCATATTTTAAGCTGTCCTTGCATTTTTGATGGGATAGGTACAACCATAAATTTGCCAGAGACCTGCCATTCAAAAAGTAAAACATTGTAAGTGTTCTGCTGCATAGTTTTACTGCCAGTTCATTGGGTCTTGATATTGACATTTCCAAACTTCCTATTTTGTGTTAGTTTTAATCTAGAAAGGCATCTAGCTGGGATGAAACAATTTCAAACCCTGTTTTGCCAGTCTGATCAGAGGGACACGTTCCTAGGTATGGCTGGAAATTGTGGGACTTGACTGTTTCCTAGTGAGTTTTCTTTTTTTTAGGTGTGTTCTCAAATATGTTAACATCTAAGGGGAGAGACAACTTCCATTTTTTGGAATAGAAATGGTCACCATGTTCTCTTCATGGGACAAAAATTTTTTTTAAGTCTTTAGGTTTGAGATTCTTTCTCTGAGTACAAGTTAGGAATACTATGGATTAATAAGATTGTGCTTGTTACTGCTTTTCCTTTCTCCCTGCTTGAGTTTATTTTTTATTTTCCTTTCTACCTGCCTGACTTTTGAATGCATCTCTCTTTCTCTGTCTCTACCAGACTTTGAACAGGTAGTGAGTGTGAAACTCATCAGAAAGCTTTCTTGCCCCTGTGGTAAAGATGTGTGAGGGGAAGAAGTCGATCTTAAGTTTTTTAAGCCAGATTTTATTTATGCACCATGTCCCATCCTGACCCTCGTTAGCTTTAAAAGCAGTTGGTTGAAACTAGGACCGCCCAATATTCTCTAATAGCCTGAGGGAGAGTCCCTTCCGCCTGTCATTCCTCCCAGTCTGTCAGTGGACTCTGGCATAACTTGGTAATTAAAATGCCATCTCTGTTTAACAACGATACAGAGAAAAAGTTTTATCAGTTAGATTGGAAAACAAAGACCGGCTCGCAGCTCTGCAGGTCAGCGTAGGCTCTGGCGTCGCGTGGTGAGCCCCCTTTCCACCTTGGTGCCTCAGCGTGTGCCGCGTTGTCACGGGTTCCCCGCAGAACTTAGGAATCGCAGGGTTGACCAAGGCAGCCTTGCTCGTTCTGTCCTCCTCTGCGTGGTTATTTTCTGCACTTGCAAAGGATGATTTGTTTTGAAATGAGTAGTATTTTCTGTACAAAAACGAATGTTCCCAATAGGCATGCAGAGGAAGAAGCTGTGTAGCCTGTGTATTTCTTTCATTGTTTGTTTGGGAGTCTTTTTCTTTGTTGTCTCTTTGCTAGAAGAGCGCAGGGGCAGGATTTTAAGGTTGACCCAAGTTCTTTGTTTTCTGAAGCGCGTGTTATTGTAAACTTCTTTCCTGAGGTGGTTTTCAGTATCACAGTTCACTCATAGTAAAATTAAAACTCTTACAGAAGACAAAATGTTAGTGGTAAATATTTCTGTGGTAATGGGCCTTTAAACATGCAACCCACATTTGGGATGTCAAATCCAATAGGTTTAATCAGATTTGAAGATTGTGGTTGTCATTGGCTCAAATACCATTTCAGAGTTGACTGGTATTAACACATGTGTTACACTTTAATGTGGAGTAATTGTACTGAACAGGGTGTCTTGATCTGCTTTTCATTTCTTTTTACTGGTGGTTCTATGTACCTCTTTGAACACATTATTTTCTGTGCTTTAGTTTCATTGTAAAAATCAGCTTTATAGATACCCTAAAATTTAAGTTCCAGTGAATGGTTTGTGATTCAAACAGACTTTGAGGCGCTGTTCATGTTCAGTGAGGGGTCGGGGTGACGAGCGATCACTTTCATTAGGTCGTGTGGTAGGGAGGCCCCTTGAGCGGGTTGTCAGGAGGCTGCGCGTCCCCCTCCAGGACTGAGAAGGTGACAGAAGGGAGAGCTGGTCATTTCCTATCCAGGAGCCTCGTTTCCTCAGTCCTTTCATCACTGGCCTGTGATTATGTCACTTGTAGTTGTCTTCTACGTGTCATGCTTATTTCAGAATCAGTATGGACTAGACTCCGGGACCTTGGGCTGTGGGAACTGTGAAAGCCGAGCTCAGATCCTGGCAGGGCCTCTTGCCAGCTGTGTGTTGATCCTGGGCAAGCTACTTCGTTTTTGCCCTCGACTGTAAAGCAGACCATGGAACTTCCTCAAGGGAAGGGATTAACGGAGCTAATACTCATCCAACGCCCAGCACAGTGCCCGGCGCGTAGTGAGTGCTATGGAAACATTTTCTGCTCTCTTTACGGTGCGTGTGACTTCAGTGGCCGAGTAGTGGTCCCCACACTGCCTGCTTGGCTGCATAGGCAAGACAGGATTATAACGAAGCCATTTTGAATGTAAATCATACACCAAGATGTTCGAAGGTGATTGCTTTTAAGTTACATGTACCTGCTGTAATTTTGGTAAATTCCTGGAAGAGGGAGAACTAGTTCAAAAACATTCATGTAGCAGAAAAGAACACCGAGTTTCCAGAGAGAATAGGTAAACACATTCAGATCAAGATTCTAGATGTACAAAAGAAACCTTGAATCCACCGTGGGCCAGGCACATTAAGTAGGTTCTGACTAGGGGGGTTTTGCTTTAAACGTGTCTTTGAGAGTTAACACTTCTGAGCAGGCTCTGTCACGGTCTTCCCTTCCACGGGCGATGGCTGTGGCTAAAGGTTAGCTGGTTGAGGCTGGCCATAGCAGAGTTGTTTTAAGAGCATTGTGAAAGGTCATTTGTGCTGAAGAAGTTTAGTTTAGGCTTACTCTTATCCATTTTCCTTGGCATTATTAAGTTCTGTGGGCAGTTAAGTTTAAAAAGGTCTTTGGAGATGAAACATCAAAGTTACATCGAAGTTACTGTATTCTTTGCCGTTTATCAAACTTTGTATATTTTCTTCTTGCTACAGAGATTGTTGTAATTGACTTAACAGGTTAGCCCTCACTTGCTTAGCCTTTCTTCAGAAGTTATTCCATGCATAATTTAAAAGTAAGTAATAAGGCTTCTATTTTGCCCCCTTACTCTAAGGGACAACAGCAGCCTTTGCTAGGGAGTATGTTATAAATACGCACAACAGAGAACCTGAAGTCACTTTCTGGTGAGAGTGACGCTGTAACAGCACAGTAAAGGTCTGAGAAAGGGCGGAGTTGGGGATGGAA